TTGAACCGTGTCACGATATGACCTCATTGATCTTAGTGCAAAATACAAAAGCAGGACAAAGAGGGATACAGTATTTGCCTTTGCTAAACATGCTTGTCATTTTTGATAATGAGATATTTACTTGCTCTGGCGAGAAGAAGAATGAACTCACTTTCCAGCTGAGCATCATGGCATTTATATCATGTAAGATGACCTTGTATGTCTCTTTTGCACTTAGGTATGACTATGCATTTAGTTTCTCCATTGATCTTGCGGGAACTACAAGAACCACCAACGAGCTCGGAGTAGCTGCATGTCGCCATTAGCAATTTAAAACAATAATAAGCAAGAAAGAGGAAGGCGAAGATAAACATTCTAACGCTCATGGGCTTCCTGTGTGTAACGCAATCACACACCATCGATCGCACTGCAGTGGTGAGGAATGGTAGCAAGAATAAGTTTTGAAAGCGTGGAGCAGGCTAAAGTGCATACTTTCGGCATCGAAACCACTTCTAAAGGTAACATTTTGTGTAATTATAGCCTGGGCAATATTCCTTCTGATGTTAACAAAGTTTTTGTTAATGTTGAGTCGGTATTAATTGCGAATATGGGCGTTGTAACAACATAAACCAACAATTTGCATATAGTCGACTATCGAAAATCGCCCAGATTGCCTTGACTTTTTGGCTTCAGGAAGAAACTATACGTACATTCAACATGAAGGAGACCTGTTTCGAAGTTTTTGTATGATATAAGAGGGAATTCGAGTGTTTTGATAATTTTTTTTTCAATGTGACGTGCAAGTCACCATTGGTCACGTAACGCGCTTCTTGAGCTGAAATACCCTGATACAAATCGCTCTAAAAATTCGTAGTTTAAGTAGCCCAAACATTTTATTACAGTTTCTAAAAGAGGAAACCTTGTTCTTGACAACGGTTATTGTCTCAGTTTATGCAGCCATGTAACAATGGCCGATTTTAGTCGCCAAAGCTGAGCTATGTTTTGATAGGTGAAATTTTACCTGAATTAGAAAATTCGTAAAAAAATCTCTTTTGAAGGAATCTAGGAAAAAATACTGCAGAACCTTTCAAAAACATCTCTTGTTGTAGAAGTTTTATGTGGTTTCCGAATTTCTGGCGAAATCAATTTTTCTCGGTCGTTATCTTGAGGTGCACTATTTCACTGGGAAAACACGGTTACGAATCCTTAAAACACAAAATGCCACTGTTCTCCCAAAATAATTTTTTTTCGGCATTTTTGATTTTTTTACGTAACTAAGGCCATTCAAACCTATGTTCTGGGAAAGTTGAAATTAATTTCAATTTTTTCATTTTCAACACCTCTGCACGATTTTTACAGACCACCACTCTTAAGTATGTAAATCAAATATTTTACAGTGGTACAAAATGTGCCTACTTTTCAATTTTCGAGACGTTGCGACGGTCCTTACAGACTGGGAAACGATTATGGCCCCAGTGCAGTCAGAAAATTATTTCGAATCAAACCAAATCTAATTAAGTTCTTTCCTAAGTTAAGTCTTTCTATCGACAGAGTTTCAGGCAAAATTATTTTTGAACTGAAATTGACCGGGTGGAAATAAGAGACAGCCTCTTAAATATAATTAATGCTACCCGTCAATATCCATATCTTATGCCCAGGGAAGCAGGTGATTAGACTTTAAAAAAAAAGCATCCTTTTAAAATACAAGGAAATAACAGTTGGAGTTTAAGGCATAAGCTCGCACAAGTTGGGAGAGGAGTATGTTCAACAGATAAGTTTCTTTTAGTTTTACAGACTTAAGGCATGGGCAAGATTATTCACAATGACATTAGGCTATCTACCAAAGCAAATACACAATTGTTTTTCTCTCTAATCAGATAAGCTGAGCAACTAAACAATAGCATTCTAATTCATATTTAGTTACTCACTTGGTTATCTATATATCATTTTATTTATATAGCCTATGTATATATTTATTTAGTTGTTAATTTTCGTTACAGACCCAATGGAAAGTCAGGACAGATCTTCTCATGTAGTCTCAGATTTTGACTGGGACACGTCAGCTGGTAAGTATGTTGAGCGGGAAGGTAACACTCATATATCATGTAATTATTATATGGCAAGGTAGTCCCAAAGTAAATCTAAGCGTTATGATTCGTTCCTACCTACTTGCTCGGTACTTTACCATGGAGACCGTATTAACTTTGATTCTGATTTATTTCACTAATGTTTACCGTGATAGTAATTGGCACCAATAACTGCAATCAATGGACGCGGAGCGAAACTTCCATAATTTCCATTAATTGAAGGGAAATTCTCTCTGTACCCGCTTTTCAGTTGAGAATTTTCCCCTCCTATACTTGCGTCTGTGCAATTGAACCGCAGCTATATTCCTTAATTTGAATGTAAAGCATTGATTGTCATGGAATGAAGTTGTAGAACAATGGTTCCTGCCTCACTTTCCAGGGGTCAAAGAAGAAAGCGTTACGACAAAGGTACGTGTGGTCTTTGATGCTGCAGC